TGAACCTGCACCGCATACAATCCACAAGCGCCCCGTCCAACAGCTCCCGTAAAGAAAGCTGCTACTCGTAGAGAGAAGAAGTCTGCGGAGACAACGTAGAACACACTGGTTTGTTGTGACCAGCCAAAGCCACGCCAAGGGATGCGCCCTGGGCTCCACGCGAGGACCAACTCTCACCGAGGTTGTTGTGGCTGTCCATGCACGCTGCCAGGAGCCCGCTGCAGTGTGGACCAGCAGCGGTGTGCGGGGCCAATTTTGGCAGTCCAATGACATCATGCAAGGAGGTAGTGGCTGTGTTTCTTGAGCAGCTTTTGAACAATAACAAGAACTCAAGATGTCAGAGCAACATCCGAATCCAAAACGGTGCCAGCACCAATGCCAGCACAAATGCCAGCACCAAGAAGGTATGCAAGAAAGGCGTGCCAGCTATCACCCTTTTTCTGCAAGAAGGATGTTTAGGCTAGGCGATGCGGTACTTCTGCTGATTTGATGGCAAGGAATGCCATGATTCACTGGGGTCCGAGGTCATTCTGACGGGCGGTGGCTGCCTCAGGGAGAGAAGCGCATGTTCTGCCCGCACTGACAATGAGCTTATGGGCATATGGCCTTGACTGCATGTCGATGGCCTCAAAATGAACATGTTTCAACTAAATCTGATTCAAAGCAGTCAGTCCTGTCATGCTCGCAGAGCGATGAGCGCACCGCAGGTCGGGCCGCCTTGGGCTACCAAAACGATGTATGGCCGCCTGCCTGCACCCAGCGCTCTTCTCTGCTATTGCCCCCACATTGTGGACGCCTTGCTTGCACGGGGGTCGCTCCGTTTGGCCAGCCGTCTCGCGACCTCGGTACTGACGTCTCCCCTCGTGCCCGTAGCAGCCTCCCATCTCAAGTGGACAGGCCTTTGACTCATCATTTGTTTGTTCTTTGCATCTGATCCTCAACACTGGGAGCACAGTATGGGCATGTTGCGAGTAGACTGCGGTCGCTGGAGTTTAGACCTGATGCCGGAAACAGGCGGGTGGTTTGCACCAATCTTCTCAGGCTTTGGCAGACCTCCGGTGAGTTCTGCAGCGCTGAGTGGCAGGCAGGGGTCGCCCTGAGGTCGGAACCTCCTGCCCTTGGTGATTTGCCTGGTTAGATTGCGACCAACTGCAGCTTATATCGCATCATTCTCGTGGCACTAGTTTGCAGTTTGTAGTTGTTGCAGTGTGGATCAGGGTCTGCATGCCCCCGACCCAAGTGAGCACAACAAAATCAGGAACGTGGAATGCAGGAAATTGCTTATTGGCTTATTTGCATATATTGGCATTTCTTGTAGGCATTCGGGCCGGAGGGCGGGAAAAGTAGGATCCGCCGCGTGAATGCTAGCAGCAGGGCCCCACAACCTTGGGCGCCAATTGGCAGGGCAAACGCGCATTTCCTTTGAATCTTGTTTGGGTCCGAATATTAGGTCATCTCGAAATCCAAGCTTTCAAGCATTTTTGGGAATCCTGGGAAGACTGCCACAAAGCGAGCCAAACGTTGGGCCACTTTTTGGATCAGTTCTCCAAAAACCTATCCAGGGCGTGTGGACGCAGCTGACCCCCCAAGCGCCGTGGCTGCCGCGGCATGGGCACCGTTTGGCGCGGGGCCCAGACTTTTTTGCTTGGGGCGTTTTATTGCATTCAAATAGGTAAACTGAGGGTTCCATCCAGAATCTGGGTTCGGGGAATTTCGGGAATGTTGGAGTCCCTTTGAATCTTTGCTGACCTGATCTCATTTGCTTGGGAGATGCCCCTCCCACCGTAGCCGTAGTTGTCCTGAAAGGTCGGCTTTGCAGCCCCAGACTCTGACGAGGTGGAAACTGCCCTCGCCTCAGCGGCCATATGGATGAGGGGCGTCGTGGACAAAGCTGTCTCCGCTTGCAGTCTAGAAGCAAGGCATGGCTCAGGTCCTGCTTGTCGGCGGATTCGGCGGCGAGCCATTCAACAGCTTGGGGGCCTAAATCATGGATGCGTGTTTGCAAGCAGAGAGAGGGCAATAGCAAGAGCGGTGCCACAATTGCTTGGCCAGCAACTTGCACCACTTGGGGCTGACACGAGGTCCGGGTCTGGTGGGGCTGTGGTAGATCGACTATGCCGACTAATCTGGGGTGAGCATTTGCGCTCAAATCGAACACAGCTGGGGCAACCAAGGCGCAAGCTAAAATGCTCTTGAGGGTTTGTGTCCTTTCTTTCCAGGAACTGCCCATGAAATTCCTCCTGTGAAGGTGTTGTTGGTGGGTGTCAGGCGTGTGCAGTTCCATGAGCCTTGTCTGCTTGTCAAGGTGAAGTCATCCGCGGAGAAGAGCAGGAGTTGGATCATGACTAGACTTTGTATCAGCTTGAGGGCAGCGCGTTGTATCCAGGACCCTGCTACCCAACCCAACCCCCGGAATGACATCTGGTGTGGCAACAGGGCCGCCAGCTTAGAGCATCTTTCGCGCATGCTGCTGAGCAGCGCTATGTGGGCTGGTCGGCCCTTCCCCAGGACTTGCAGAACTGGGGCACCTGGACGGAGATGGCTCCCACCGCTCCCTTCTCTGCGAGGGCACAGGCGCAGGGTTGCCAATGCTTGCGCATTGCGGGATAGCAGCCCTTAGCTGTCCTCACATCGGTCAGGCACGAGGAAATGGAGTTATTTTAGGATCTGGGGATCAACGCCATGTCAATGTGTGTGTGTGTGTGTGTGTGTGTGTGTGTGTGTGTGTGTGTGTGTGTGTGTGTGTGTGTGTGTGTGTGTGTGTGTGTGTGTGTGTGTGTGTGTGTGTGTGTGTGTGTGTGTGTGTGTGTGTGTGTGTGTGTGTGTGTGTGTGTGTGTGTGTGTGTGTGTGTGTGTGTGTGTGTGTGTGTGTGTGTGTGTGTGTGTGTGTGTGTGTGTGTGTGTGTGTGTGTGTGTGTGTGTGTGTGTGTGTGTGTGTGTGTGTGTGTGTGTGTGTGTGTGTGTGTGTGTGTGTGTGTGTGTGTGTGTGTGTGTGTGTGTGTGTGTGTGTGTGTGTGTGTGTGTGTGTGTGTGTGTGTGTGTGTGTGTGTGTGTGTGTGTGTGTGTGTGTGTGTGTGTGTGTGTGTGTGTGTGTGTGTGTGTGTGTGTGTGTGTGTGTGTGTGTGTGTGTGTGTGTGTGTGTGTGTGTGTGTGTGTGTGTGTGTGTGTGTGTGTGTGTGTGTGTGTGTGTGTGTGTGTGTGTGTGTGTGTATGCGTGTGCGCGTGTGCGCGCGTGCGCGCGTGTGCGCGTGCGCGCGTGCGCGCGTGTGGGCTTGGCGCGTGTGGGCGTATGTGCGTGCGTGCATGCGTGCTTGCGTGCGTGTGTGCGTGCGCGTGCGTGCGTGCGTGCATGCGTGCTTGCGTGCGTGTGTGCGTGCGCGTGCGTGCGTGCGTGCGCGTGCGTGCGTGCGCGTGCGTGCGTGCGTGGGAGGGTGGGTGGGTGCGTGTGTGCGTGCGTGGGTGTGTGTGTGTGTCGCCTCGCTTGCCTCGCTCCCTGAGTTTGGTGCCGTCATTGCGCCGACGTTCGGACTTCAGTTGCTCCTGTGGATTTCCGTTGACAGACGACGTGTGCTCCATGCCATGGTTTGCTTAATTCAGCGGACTCGGTGTGGTGCCAAGGATTTCAGAGTTCTCCTTTGTCCTCTTTGGCGGCTATGACGACAATGCAGACATTGCTCGCTTGAGGAAGCGTTGGCAAGTCCACGTGCAGTCGAACCTCAAGTAGCGAGCCCTTCCGCACGGATTCTAGCTGCTCAGCTCTTTGCTTCAGATCCAGTGGCCAGTGGCCGAACATGAAAACAACAAATCGAGCAGGATGAAGCCTCCTTGAAGCCGGCTCCTTGCAGCTTTTACCAACAAGGCGAAAATAGAATGACGAGTGCCCTGATGGTGCTCTCCAGGGCCTGTGTTGCAGGTTCGGCAATGCAATTTTGCCAGGCGCGACTCGTTGCTGACCAATGGCGCTGGCTGCGACCCCAGAGCTATGGCACTTGGGCTTCAACAGGCTCAAAGCACCTTTGAAAAGTCAGACCCAAGCATGGGCAACTATGGCAACTGCCAATTCAATGAACAAAGCAACGACAGTGCGCTTTCGAGAAGAACGATAGGCATTCATCTTGTGTTTGAACTTGGCAGGGCCCTTTGTTCGATGCTTGGTTGGCAAAGAGAGGTCGCTTGGCCCGTCACCAGGGCCCCTGAGTTTCTTAGCATCTTATGTGTGGCAAGGCCAGATTCACACTTGGTTGAGACCCATCAGGCTGAGTTTCTAGATTTTGTTGTAACTTGGATTGCAAAACGTCAGTCGAGAAACACGAGTCTTGGCGTACTTTTTGTCAGTCTTCCGAGGGCTTCAAATCCGGCCTTGGCAGATTTCACAATGTGGGCTGTGGGTTTGCATTCAGTGAGTTCAGTCAGCAGCCAGCTTGTTTCACGAGACTGCGACCTTGCAGGACGGGGGAGAACACTACTTTCCGTTGCCAGATCGAGGAAAGTTCTGAGATTGTTTAGCTGGCGCACTTTGCGATCCAGCTCGATACTCTCAATTCCGCTGCCCGCACGCAGCAAACGGGTAGTGAAGCACCATAGGAAGAGCAGACTTGCGCAACAGTTCTCTTGTTGGTTTTCTCCTTGCAAAAGTTCAACCTGCCTTCACATCGCCGTAATCGCTTCAGCACACTGTGACCCGGCTGCGGTCACGATGAGATGAAAGCCACGCGGATGCCTGCTTGTACATACTTCTGCCAGACTCACTCGCCAGAGAGCGATGGGGGCAAAAGAGCGTGTGCAGACTGACTCGAGAAGACACGCACGGTTTTAGGCTTGCAAGGCAGCTAGCTTGTCCTGGAACTGGCGTGGTCCGTCGCATTCTCCAAAAGCGCATTGGCAGTCGCAACAGTGTCCAGGTTTTTTGGTGTTCTTGGCCAAGCCCACTCATACATTCATGACGGCAGACATCACAACTCTCTTGCGACTCTCGCCATGGGAACTGACGTTGGCCTGCCATGGAGGCGCCTCTGGTTTGCTGTGCCCAGTGCGCGAATGTTCTGTCCTCATAGGCTTCGGCTTCGAGCTCTGCGCAGGCATCGTTTGTTGGGACCTATGCCAGGCCTCCAGCACTCCAGACTGGTACGGCAAACTGAGACACGCGTGCCTCCAGAGCCCAAGGTTCATGTGAGCTTTGACGATGGACCCGCGACACGACCTCAGCTGTCAAAAAAACAAACGATTTCCGAAGTCTGTTTGTGCTTGAGAGAGGGAGGGGCGCAGGCATCTTCCAAACAATTTGATTTGGGCCTTAACCCTGTGAGAACGTCGGGTTTTCCCGCGCGTTCGGCGGGTGGGTTGATAATGGGTTCATACCTTGCCAAGAGAACGGGGGATGTCTCCTGCTACATTGCCCTTCTTTGACATTGCTTTCACCAAACGCCGAAATGGCATAAGACGTGGGTGGTTTATTTTCCCGGGGGGGGGGGGCAGGGCGTGCAATTATTCAGCACCATGACAACCATGTTTTAAAACATGCTAATTGCGATCATGCTGGAGCACTGTAGCAATGGTGGTTGTTTTAATGAAAGTCAACATTGCCTTTTGATGCGCGTCGCAAGGACTGGAATTACAGCTCAAGTCTCCGAGGACTTCATGAGAATCTATTTAGCCAATCAGCTTTCCGTTTCCAACGCCAGTTTGACAATGTTCTTCTGCCGCAAACAATCAACGCTGCAAATGTCCACCTGCTTGTGATTCTGCGGAGGGCATTGCGCAGGACGATTTGTGTGATCCGCGTTATTGGCGTTTTGAAGAGGCCATTCCGCAGTTTTGGGTCACGGCTCGATCTGCAACTGCGAAGGTGCATGGCGGAGTGCCAACCTTCAAAGTACTTTTCCCCGTGCGCGCCCAAGACAGAAGGGCCGAGTCATGTGTCGTTGACTATGTTTGAATTGCCCATCCCTCATGTTGCCGCTGCTCAGGATGGTTTAGTATCCTTCATTCGCGAGTTGCCAAGATCTTGGATGACGGTTTTGTATGATCCGAGCCATCAGTACCAACTCTCACTGAATTCAACTGTTGCAGTAAGTCCTGGCGATGTTGCGTTGTTTTCTGTCGCAATGAAGGCCATGCGCAAAAGATGGCGTCCAGATCTAAGGGTTGATGGACTTGAACAAAGGCATTTTGTTTGAACACATGTGGGCATGCTAAGGTGTTGGTTGACGAAGATGGCGATGAGCACCTTGCATGCAATATGATTTTGCAAAACACAAATCAACGAACAGATGCAGCAACGTCAAACTTGGAGCATGTGTGTCGTATTGTTGTTTGGGTTTATTTGGTTTGAGTTTGATTCATGCTAAGCTGTGTTGATTTGTGCTGCAAAATGGGTGCTAAATGTTGTGTCATGCATCATTCATTTGATTCTGATTTGTTTTGCTTGATGGTTCACATATTAAACTGGGGTGTTCATATTGTTGTTCAGTTGTTGCTTGGTTTTGTTTTTTGGTTGCGTCGAATCTTTTTCATTCTGCAATGTTTATGTGTGGTTTGTGTTTTGTTTGTTTCTTTGTGTGTTTCCTTGTGTGTTTGTGTGTTTGTTTGTTTGTTTGTTTGTTTGTTTGTTTGTTTGTTTGTTTGTTTGTTTGTTTGTTTGTGTGTGTATGTTTGTTGTATCACATACTGCGTTGGGTTTTGCCATGTCGTGTTTTTTGGCGTGTGTTATGTTGTGGCAATGTTGTGTTGCATAGTGTTTCGCCGAGTATATGTATGTTGTGTTGTAGTGACGTTGGCCGTATCGTTTCAGGGAACGAGTTTGGTTCCCTTTCGTAACACAATTTGATCGGAGGAATCATTGAGATGTGAAACACCAACAACTTGTTCACTTCCAGAAGGCATTGCTAGCACCTTTATAGGCCGCACTGTGAACTCATGCAGACATTCGTGTTTGGATTGTTTGGTGTTTTCAGGGGGCCCGTATTAACTAACACGGGCTGCCACTGGCCCCTTGGCACGATCCCAGTGCCTTTCACTGAGCCATTGGATCCTGAGGCACCGCTACGTGGTGATGGACCAGCTTCCAGGAGACAAGGTGGCTTCATGTTTGCCAGGTGACCCAAATATCAGAAAATCAATCATTCGCAAATTTTCTCTCAGACGCTGCAAGTTCTCAGTTTGATCAGATGGAGCATGTGATTCGGTCAAATCCGTTTGCTGCAGATGACATGACGTGTTTGGCAAGATGTGCAAGGACTTGTCGCGCGGGCAAAGCGAGATGGTGCAGGAGAAGTTCCGTGGCTGAATCAGGATACGTTTTGGTTGTATTTAATGGCCTGCAGCCTGGTTCCGCCGCCCCCATAGGGCTTAGAGTTTCGGCCCGGGGCGAGAGAAAGCACGCGTGCACAGACCCGTTTGCGGACACGAAGATAGACGCAGATACGTAGACACAAACAGACACAAAGAGACACAGACAGACACGCAGGGGGGAGGGGGGGAGAGGGGGGGGAAGCGGGGGGAGGGGAGGGGAAGGGGGGGGATATGGTCGAATGGACCAGGCAGGGGGTCGGCAGATTGTTTGCCCTCGTAGATGTTGTAGCAGTAACTACTTGCTGCGGCGCTAAACATCAGACCTATCACGCACACACACACACACACACACGCAATGCAGGGTGCGCCTGTTTTGTTTGAGCAAATCGCAATGGCATCAGGAAACTTGACATTTTCTGCAAGTTGGTATCTTCAATGAAGTTGTATTTGTGGCAACATGGCTGGACACGTCAAGATTGGCTTGCAGGCAAAATCTGGGCGGCCCTGCTGTTGTACCCGAGGTCCGCGGGCATGGATGTTGCATTCCAACGCGAAAGGCTTCACAATGTTTTTGTGGGCAAGCAAAGTCCGTGTAATGTGTGACGTATCTTGTATGTGCCGCCTGCCGCTGACGGCAGGTCAAAAAAGACATGCATGGCTCAGATTGGTCCCTTTCTTTGAGACCATGACATCCGGCGCAAGGCTGCTGGGCATGGTCCCAAGTGCGGCTGCCCAAACAAGACAGCGCTCGTGTCAGTCCAGTAGGTTGCAGGGTTGGAATTGTGTTGTACCCGCATGCGCCGCTTGGGGCAGAGAATTTGCTGGTAGCGCAACATGCCAAGGTAAAGCAAGCACTGCAAGGCACAGTTGGAGGCAGAACGACAGGTTTTCCGGATTAAATAGGTCCAAGAAAGTAGTTTTCTACCGTCTAATCATCAAAATGCTCGGAGCGGCCATATCAGACCTTCGTTTGCCAAACTTGGCTGCCTGTCACAGGGCTGGGCGCTGCATTGGCATTATCTCTAGTTTCCCCCACATGCAGGATATACCGAGGGGATAGTTCATTTTCCATGTCATTGTCCCTGTATTCCGGACTCCCTGTGGGCCTATGGGAATTGAGGCGCAAGGCCACAGCGGAGGAAACCTCAGGAGCGAACCCGTCATTTGTTTTCAGATGCATCAGGCCAATGTGATCCACGCAATGAATACAAGACAATGTCGCACAGGGCCTTGTTGTTTCTTGAAGTCATATTCGAGAAGATTTGAGATGGCAGCGCCAAACAGTTCTGCTGGCGAATTCTACCTCTGGCTGTGGCTCTTGACAATACGTTCCGGCGTGTTTCGGACATCGTGTTGTTTGTCATCCAGCGGATCGATGCTGCTGATTGCAGGATCCAAGAAGGCCCGGAACGAAGGCATGTGCCGCATATTGTTTGATCCAACTCTCACCAAACTGTCACAATGTATATTGGACCCTCCGCGGTGGGCAAGCAAACGCAGACCTGTGTTGGGGGTTACAGTTGGGCTGGCACGTTTTGCTGAAGGTTGGCCGGCCACTGCGGCTTTTGTAACTTCCTGCGGTTGCATGCATGCATTGAAAGCCGACCTCTTTGCTGTCAGGCACGCCAGACGCAGCAAAAAGTGTTGAAGGAGGCAACGGTTCTTCGGGCTGACGACTGGTTTGCTGCATGTCAGTTGTCCTCGTTGAATGCACACGGCAGTCAAACAGCATTGGATATCGAACTCGGAAAGTTGCAAGAACTTTGCGAAGGATTCCGAGACATTGCATCAGCGAGGTGTTTGCCATGGCAGTGGAGTTGGCTCAAGAAGCCACTTCCCAATACCAATGGCGAGAGACACAGGGAAACTGGCAAGGACGCCTGAAGATGCGAGCCGGAAATGTACCGACATTTGTTGTGTCTTCCTGTATCTCGGTGCGATGGCAGGCTTGATTGTCTGCCTGTATGTGGCACTGGAGAAAGGAGACATCAACAAGCTCACGTCATTGCCTGACTACCAGGGCACGCAATGTGCCAACAAGTTCATATTCTTCCCATTGGAGGGGGAAGGAGTTGACTTGCACAAGCAGGTTTGCGTCGACTCATGTCCAGCGGATGGGGACGCAACAGTTGTCACCTATCTGTTCCCAGAAACTCGTCGACTTGGAGAGTTGCTGAATGCGGTGGGGGCAGGAGTGGCCGAGACAAACGAGCTGCTGCTGGGGCAGCCAGCAGCCGCTGTCGCTGCACCTGCTGCACCTGCTGCTCCTGCTGCTCCTGCTGCACCTGCACCAGTTACACCCGCTCCAGCTGCATCAGCCAACCTGAAGGTCTCGGAACCAGCTGAGTTGCCAGGCGCTGCAGAGCCACAAACCACCGCAGAACCATCTGCAGCACAGCAGGTGACACTCCAGGGCTACCCGACCACTCCCGTAGGAGGCGTTGTATGCCTCCCAGAAGTGTCCAAGTTTCAGGGAGAACTTAAGGACATACAAGGCAGCGAGTTGTTCTTCCAGTATGCCTTGCCTGCCATGGAAGCCTTTCAGAATGTCGAGCTCTTGATCATGGGGGCCGTGGTGTCTTTGGCATGCTCTTTTGCCTTCTTGTGTGCGGTTGAGCTGTGCGCGAAGGTCCTGGTATATGTCCCTTGGTCTGCCAAACAGTCGTGATGTCATTTACCAACCCAACAAAATGTGGGGATCTTAAATGTACATGGGTCGCATAGTTTCCGTTTTGTGGCCCAAAGTAGCAGTTTCTTTGGAAGCCAGCACAAATTGCAACTTGCAAAAGAAATAGAGCGACCCTTGAAGCGCCCTCAGCTTGGCCTGCCATGTTGAGCTCCGCTGAGGTGTGCGTCACGGCTCTCGCCATCCTCCCAGCGCTGATGGGTGGTTGGTTCCTCTACACTGCGCAACAAGGACAGTCAAACGCAGCGGGGGATTCAGTGGCAGCCTTGGACCTGGGCCTAACTGGTGTTCAATCTACCGTCGTCCTCGGCGTGGCGAGCCTTGGCTTTTCTTGCATCGTTCTCCTGTGCGCCTGCCCCTTGGCAAATTTAGGCTGCAACAGCAACTCCAAAACGCATGATGTGTCACAACGCAACGCCGTCAATTTACTTGCTGTGATCAGAACTGCACTGAACAGGTCCGTTTACTCTTGCACTGACAGGAGCTTTGTGAACTGATGCTAGCCTGAGCTGAGGTTTTCAATGTGAAAAGTGCACGAAGGCAGCGGAGGCTGCACAGGAGGCTGCTGACTGCTTGATGACCATGCCCAGCCTCATGCTAGAGCCCTTGTTTTCCCTCCTTTTCAAAGCGCCAGTCTTCCTTGGAGGGCTTGTGGGCCTTCTGATGCTTGTCACATCGGGGGACTACTCGCAATTCGACCTAACCAAGCCGGAGACCTTGGTCCCCAAACCGGATAACCTGGCGATCATTTGCGCAATCTACTGGTTCCTCGTATGGCTGTGGACCATGGAGCTCCTGCACTACATCTCAACATTCGTCGTTGTGTATATGGCAGAGGTATGGTTCTTCAAGCACTACGGCAAAGGATCGCGTGGAAGCTTGTGCACGATGTGTGGGCCGGCATTGATGTTGAAGGCCTTTTGCATTGCTTGCACCAAGCACCTGGGCTCCTTGATCTATGCCGCAATCCTCATGTGCTTGCTGCGAGTAGTGCGGTGGGTGGCGATCGCCTTGCTTGAGGTACAGCAAGCCGCAGACTCGAATCCTGTGACAGCCTGCCTGTTCAAGGCCGTGAAGTGCTGCACGGATTGCTTCACGGCATGCGTCGAGAAGGTGCTGAACCTCACAAACCAGCTCGCGATTATGCAAATCGCTTGGAAAGGAGAAGACGGCTACTGCTCTGCGGGGGAAATCGCATTGCGAGAGCTGTTCGGAAATATGGCCGCATGGACTGCTGTGGAAGGTTTTGCCAATTTCTTCACCTTTCTCGGTGTGGCGGGGATTTCTGCTGCTACTGGCTTTTTGACCCTCATGATCACATCCACCTTCAGCCGCTACAAACAACCGGGAAGTGCGAACTATGTATCTGACCCTCAGAACATGGCAATTGCCAGCGCCATCATTGCTTTTCTCATGTCCTGCACCGTACTGGTCCACTTTGTGATCATCACGGACACCATGGCCTTTTGCAGATTTGTCCAAGTGGCCGACGCCAAGAAGGCTGGGGAGGGAGCTGATGAGAATGGTTCACATTGCTGGACTTGCTGGCAGAGATCTGATCCGCGGGAGACAGAGCGCCTTCTCAAGAAGTGAGGGTATCTCTTGCATGAACTGGGGCACGTTGCATAAAAGCTATGCGACGGACCGTCAAATTCGACAATGCTTGATTCGCTTCTGATTAAGTGCCATCCTGCCGAATGACCACAAACCGCACAATGCCCCCCAGCTGTGTCTTGACAAACAGGAGCAGCGCATGGCTCAACTTTGTTTCACCAAGCTGGATCCGTTGGACTGACCCAGGTTTTGCAATATTCAAGAGAGATTGTTCAAAGACCTGTAGGTTTTGGGCCAGTCCACTCCGATGGGGGCCGAAGACCGCCTCAGGAGAGAGCAAACATGTTTTTTTGCTTTTTTGCGAGGCTGGTCTGCAGCAATCCTTATGGCACAGCGTGTTGTCCAATCCACCGCCCGCTTTTGACCCTTGAAACGTTGAAGGCCTGGGCAAGGGGAGCCCATCCAAAATCCGAGGGTGCAATGCAGCTACCCAGCCAGGCGAAGGACTTCCGGCAGAAGCTCAGGAAGGCCGGCAGTCCATTCCCACACGGCCCTTGTTTGGGCTCACCGACACTTTGTCAGACGCACGTGGGGCACTAGCTGGCGCCTGCAATAGTTCTCAAGGCTTCCAAGTGATTTGATCAGTATTCCCTGGACTCATGGAGCACCTTGAGCGCCTAGGGCCTAGATTCGACCCAGATGTCAGCATGCAGTACCGTGAGAAAATTAAGTGAATGAATGTCCGATTGGTGGTGAGGATTTTTGTCAAGTTTAGCGCTTCATCAACCTCAACGAATCAATGCAATGGGTCACGGCCTCGCGAGCGCGTGATTGTCAGCTCGCAAGCGCACGAGATTTTGGGATCGCCCGCACATGTATTTTGTTTTTCCCCCAACAGCTGAAAGGCTCCGGGGTGGTCCGGGGCGGGCCTGAGGTAAGGTTCCACGAGGGCTCCACCAGGGTTACACGAGGGTTCCACGAGGTTGTGCGAGGGCTGCGGGGTGCGAGCACTAGAAGAGCACTGCATGCTGTTGGGGATATCCCGTGAGTTTTTTTGTGGCAGGCGCGGTACTTTGGGCAAGATTCGTGTGTCTCGCCCGCGCATGTAATGCTCGCGCCCAGGCGAAACGCTCGAGTCTCGCACGCGTGTGCCGGTGTGCTTACCAGTCCCCACCTTTGGAACTGCGTTTTGTGGCAGGCGCGCTTTTTTGAGCGTCATGTGACGCAGTTGAAACCAGGTCCCGCGTGGGTTTTGGAACTGGGTTCTGTGGCAGGCGCGCTATCTTGAGCGACGCGTGCTCCGTGCTCCGGTGAGACTTGGGCTGTTGCGTGCTCCGATGAATCAAAAATTGCGCCCGCAAGAGCGCATTTAGGAACCGGATGACGTGGCAGGCGCAGTGCTTTGAGCGATCTATGAGACCAGCGTCGTCTGGAGTCGTCAAGGGAGTCAAAAACCACGTGCTCCGATGGCCCCAACCGTGTTGCTTCAAATCTTTTTGGTTCTGGGTCTCGCCATTGCAGGAGGCGACTCAAGGGCTGAGCCTCCCACTGGAGGCTGGCAATGCCTGGCATGGCATCTTGGAATCGTGGGAACTCAACTAGCAACTCGAACGAGCTCAGTTTATCCATATCCGCCATATCTGGTTGGCATTGAATTTGGACACTTAGTTGTTTTGAACCCAAAATGCGGCAAGTAACAAGCAACTTCTCCTTGCTATTTGCGCTTGTTTGATTAGTGGAGGTGTGCGTTTTGTTGGGGGTCAGCAAAGAAGGCAATGCTGCACATTTCACCCCAGTCTCGTGATTGGTTTTTCATGTCAGCAGGTCGTAATGTCATCAGCACTGCTCCTCCCCGTGGCACACTTTCCTTGTTGCAAATGTCAAGAGGGGATTTTGCAGGTATAAATGCCATAGTACAAGAATCCAAAAGCATGCTCATATTCGTTCCCGCACACATTCCCACACACACACACACACACACACACACGCATTGCCACCCTCGCTCACTGATGGTCGAAGTCAAACGCTTAAAGGATCCCAAAAAGAGCCCTGTAATGAGCTGCATCTATTTAGCCGCATTTCGAGGTTCAGGAAATAGAGGAAAGCGAAAGGGGACCATGTTTTGTCAAAGATAGTGTTCGAATTTTGCAAGCAAGGCTGCTATCCTTTTTACAGATGCCAGCTTCGTGGGTAGCACGCCCTCCGCCACAGTGGCAGTAGAAGCAAGAATCACTCTCATTTGGAGGGATCACTTGGATTGTTCCAAGAACTGAGGCCCAACGGGCACAGAGCAGGCCAAGGATTTAGCGTTCATGGTTGTAGTGGAAACGCTTTTGCAGACGGCAGGATGGTTCTTCTGGGGTCCATCCGGCCAGGAGACTTGTGGATTCTAGAGAGCCCACTCGCAGGTGCCAGCGCACGCGTGAGTGTGGAGAAAGCAAAGACTCCGCGCTCTGTTTGACTGGCGCCCAGCAAGAGCGGCTAAGTCGCGCCGGCAGGAGGGCCCTCGACTCATTTGTGCCTTGCAGATATTTGGTTCTTTTTTGCCCTTAGACGGTGCAGATGAGGCGCTGGCACATGGTCAGATGGAATTTGGTTGCTGTGAGGATGGGTGTGTTGCTCAAGTTTCAAAGTTCCTCTTCTAACGAAAAGGGCGAACTTCACACTTTACATGCATTTTCTTCGCCGAGGTCGCAGCTGTGGAGGTGGCATCGATAAGGGAGCGGTTCGCTGCGGGGTTCAAGGCCAGATTTGGAGTTTGGAGGATTTGTTACCCGTTGAACTGGATTCAGGATGGCGTAGCTTGCTCGTTGAACAGGCACAAAGCAAACAATTTGTTCCTTTGGAACTCCCATCCAGAAAAGTGTTTCTGGCCTCACATTTGTGCCACGCAAGGCTATGCCGGTGGCCGAAGTGTGCTCCTATGGGCAGGGAGGCCTGGCCAGCAAACAAGTAGAGTTGTTTTCAAAATAATGATTGGTGTTTGGCACGTTGATTCTTGAAGTAGTGCAGGCGTTGAATGGCACAATTCCTACTGGCTATTGATGTGGCTTTGATGGTTGACTTTGGGAGAATTGTCCACATATGCCAAGGCATGCATGCGAACGCGGAACTTTGACTCAGGCTCATGCGCCGTGCTTTCTCGGGAAGATCAAGGCAGAGTACGTGCCATGGCCTCAACGGGTGGGGACGCAGCGTAGACGGTATTGTGTTGCACCCGCATGCTGGGTTCTGTTCTCAAAGCCCGGGCATGCAGAATTCCAGCATCAGAATGTAGACTGGCAAGCTGCCTGACACGGATTGAGGACAGCACGCCGTGGTCGGTGCAAAAGCACCGGGGAAGCTTTTGCTGCAGCCTCAGTCCAATTCCCCACGCACTCTGTGTTGCAATGCACAAAATCGGCGCGAGCCGCAAGCGAATTCGCGCGATAGCGAATTTGCCAGGAGATTGGGCAGCTTCGAATCGGCTTCGAGGTGCACAGCCCGTGTTCACGTGAGGAATTGCAGCGGTAGCTTGTGGGCATTGCCATGCCTGGTGTGCCAGCAGTGTGCCAGCCAGCCCATAGGTTTAGCAGTGTACAAACCTATTGCTTTGACTGCTTCGGTGTGAGTCCGCGAAGCATGTTTGGCTTCGGCCGTTGCACAGCTGTGGAGGTGGGGAACCACAAGTCTTGGCCAGGAACTGAGGGGAGCATATGCGGCAAATCTATGGCAAAATATATGTCCTTCAAATCCAAGGTGGGGGGAGTTTTTCCTGGTAGAGTTTTGGGGCTGTGCCCTCGGTTCCGTGTGAATCCTTAAAGTCACATGCATTCGACCAGAGTTGGCCGAATGGAGGTGGCAGCCCGTAGAAGCCGCCCGCCGCTTGCCAAGCTGCGTTTGGACAGAGCTTATATTTGGCCCGCGCGGTCCTTCAGGAGGGTTTGAGCATCTCGCGTCCTTTGCGCCCGAAATAGACAGGTTCAGGTTTGGGTCAACGTCGTCCAAATTGCACGGGGGGGGGGGGACAGAATTTCAAGTTTGAAATCTGGTCATCCACCCTGCTGTCCATTTGTTCCGCCGTGCTGCCTGACAGATGCCTCCTACTCACAGCCCGAATGGAGGGTGTGGGCGGCTTTCTTTGTTCTTTGCCCAACTTCCCAGATGAGAAGCTAAATTGTCGTTCGCTGTGTTCTTAGTTGCCCTGCAAGTCTCGGATATCATTTCATAGTGTTCCCCTTCATTTTCTGCAGCATGTGAGGTTGGACCTCGCAAGTGGTGGCCCTTGGAGTAGTCCGCAACCTGGGCCGATGTGCAGGCGCTGAAGTATCAATTATTACTAGGCAGGGGAGTTTGTGATGCAGAGGTTGTTCCGTGTGACCGATTCCACCAATGAAAACCAAAGTATGCTGGTGCTGCCTGGACATGAATGCCTGACAATTATGTTTGCCACTTCAACCTGCTTCAATGAAGCATTGCGGATTGCTTGCAAAGAAAGTTATTGTACTTAGCTGCTAGTTTAATTTGCCACCAAGCTGTGGGATACGTGCTTGGTGAGGTTTACTGGGAGAGGATTTGCATCGATATGTTACACCAGCCTCAGTTTGTTTCAGGACTTTACTTGGATTCATGTTCGCCATGTTCGTGTATGTGTTCTGTTCAGCGCATCGCTATGGCCATGGCAACTAACCAGCTGCTCGAGCTTGAGTCGGTGCATGTGTAGGTGCCCACAGTGCATCCAGGCCAGCTTGAACAAACACAACAAAACAGCACAGATTCCTTGCTGCGCCATAGAGCTTTGCTGAACAATTTACTCGGTGCAAGATTGCGGATTGCAATTTTCCAGCAGGGGATCAGGTCAAGATTCTAGCACTTGTTTTGGCGGTCAAGTTGCTCAATCTGTTCGCCTTTAGTTCGCATGAACAGACAAGCGCGGCCATCCTGCCATCCACGATTCAGGCGCTCCGACTGAAGAAATGGATTTCTTGGAGGTTGAGAGGGTGCCCCACCGACCATAAGTAGATGTGTAGATGTGTGGTTGAAGTGATGGAGCGGCGTTTGAGCATCCATAATAGTTGCAGCGCAACATAGATACTCGAAACCATAGGTGGTGCTCACCGCCTACCGTTTTGCAGAGCTGCCCCTACTGAACTCAACATTTGAATCTTGATCCATTCGTCATTAAACAGAGAAGCTTGAGCTGCCATTGTGTCATGCATTGTGGTGTTTTGCGGCAGTGCTACCTTAGTCACCGAAGACCTGGCCGCAACATGCCTTGCAGGCTGAAACCAGCACATCTCCAGAAATACTGAGGGGCGTGTGCGGAGCTTGCCTGACTTTGTGAGGCAAAATGGCGTGGAGAGGCAGGCTTGATGACGAAGCTGATGGTTTCAAGAGTGATGCTGGGTACGTGCGGAAGGGCAATCCAAAGCGGGCTAGCTGGTTTTCCCGGTGGTTTCTTTTGCTCGGCAAATGGGGTGTCAAACCATCCAGATCGAACAGGAATTTGATGCATGGGTTTTTTTTGCTGGGTGCTGAAGATACAGGATCCATAGCTGTTGGTTTCCGTGAAAGGAACCAAACGGAAGCGGGCAAACGTTTGATTGTTGCAGACCAGTTATTTGGCACCCGGTCTGCTCTCACGTCCAGACATGGCCGAAACACACGTGTTTGCATCAGCCAGGAGCCGCAGTCCTGCACGAGCGCCGGCAGGCTGCGACGGGGATGCAGCCACTGCAGTTTCATGTTCTGAAGACCTTCAGCAGCTCAAAGCTCAGGCGCCAAAGCGCGCCCCAGCGCTCGGCCGAAGGAGTCAGATTGGGGGGGGGGCAGAAGGGAGAGCAAGTAACACAACTTGTGCGCACCAGGTGCGCCACGGCATGCAAAACATGGTGGTTCCTGTCTTGGCTGCTTTCTTGATGCCAGGAGCAGAGCTGGAAAAGAAGTTTCCAGCATGATGGTTGGAGTGGCAACCATCAGACCCAAGAGACCTGGCCAGCAGGCAACCAGGAGATCAAGGAAGAGGCTTGGCTAGAGGGCGGTCAGGAGAACAAGGAGGAAACTCACCCAAGCAACCAGGGCAAAGAGCAGACCTGGTCAGCGAGCGACTGGGAAGACAAGGATTGGTCCAGTTGGAAATGGAAGGATGGCTGGAAAGAAGGCGCGGAAGGACTTCTTCATCGACTGAGAGTGTTTGTGGGACTGTGAGAGTCGGAGTGTGAGAGAGAGTTTCACACCCAACCCATTCCCATTTCGAAGCAACGTGGACAAACGCGTGCACAAAATGTGCGCAGAGTGATGTGCAGGTGATTGGAAGAAGGGAAGCTGGCAGGAGTGGCATCGTTGAACAATTTTCAGGTTGGCTAGGCCTTGCAGAGGTCTCAAACAAAGTGAGAGCAAAGAGGCAAAGGGAACGCCAGAAAACAACACGTTTAACTTGACGCTTTCGGCTTCCTGTGAATGCATACTCCAATCAACGTACCAGGCATGTTCAGCAGTGCATGTTTCTGGGTGTTAACTGCCATTGTTTCGAGCTTTGACGTTTTACTTTTTCTAAACTTGCATCGAAGGAATCAGAATCGCGGAAGCGGTCTCACAGTGCTGATGCCCCTTCGAAGCTTTTTCCACAGGCGAGGAGGGTACAGCAAGAATAGATCTCTGCCAGTACAGCCTGTAACAAATTCCTTTGCTACCCTTGCTACCCACTGCTTTGGTTGCTAGGCCTACATCTCAGACATTCCTGTCGAGTTTGCCCCTTGTCTGAAATTGGGAATGAAGATGATAGGGCTTAGCAAGCATGCTTAGCAGAGCAAACAATTTGCTCATGTGCCGTGCCAAGGACGAGAAGAGTTTGCGGAAAATGCACGAGCAGATTGGCATCGCAGAAGATGACATGCCGATTTCCATCAAGTTCTTACCTTCAAAGGAGTGATTCTTGGGTTTGTTCTTAATATTATGGCCCTATGGCTCAAGGGTCACAGAAATCTGACAGCAGAGCCCCGCTCAAGATGCGTCACCGGTCACAAACTGCGACACTTGTTAGTCAAGCTCCCTCCCTGAAAGACAATGTCGATGTCTTGAGTTCAGGACCAGACTGGAGAGACCTGCTCTTGCATTGCGCGCTATGAGAAGGAGGAGACCCTAGAGCAGGTCATCCTAAGGACTGGCAGGGTACCCTTGCAGTGCAGCTGCAAATGATACCAGCGGAGCCGGTTGCATGATTCGTTCGGCAGGTTGAATGGTCAGCATCTAAAAACCCGCAGCGGCAAGCCCAAATTGGTAGGCGTGGAAGAGCTCTCAATGACCGGGTTGTCATGCTACATAGGAACAAAAGCAAGAGACCGTGCATGAAAGACGTTCAGCCAGCCGTTTGATTTCGGGCAGGTTTTTGGAAGTGAGTCACACCCCAATGTCCAGAAGTTGGTCAATGCCCAACTTCGACCAGTATGCTCATGGCTTCTAGGGGAGCATGATTAAACCCAAAGAAAAGTGTGAAGAAGGTGTTTTGAGGAGAAGCTCTTCGCGGTATCAGCGTCAATCCGCAGATGAAAGCAGCCGGCCCGCATTCTGTCAGGCGTGAGCAAGGCAAGGCCTGCGCGCTGGATGGTCGAGGCGAGGGGCGTTTGCGCCTTGTGCACGAATCCCAGCTGAGGTCCCAGCTCTGTGAAGTTACCAGGTTACCAGGGCACGGCAAACATGTCCGAAACCTGCCAGAGGGATAGCGTTGCCAACAACATTGCGAGTCAGCCATAGAATATGTGCCATGCTGAAAATACTCGGTCACATACGGATTGCACTGAGGGCCATCAGCCACCATAGCAGTCCTATTGAGAGTAAACGCAATGACCATTCCCAACACGATAAAGAGTTGATCGTTTGTTTCAGCCGTGCATGGCCTCATTCCCATGAGGAATTTGGGCAGGCCCAATTCCGCGTATTTTGAGGTGGCTACTAGCACATGCACCGACTTCGTATTGGACTTATAGGGTATCTACTTCTTTGGCAGATTGTTCGTTTAGCCGCGGCCCATGATTCGACCTCCAAAACGGCACTAGGTAAAGACCTCCATATTATGTGTTTGTGTGGTCGCTGTTCAGAAGGCTAAGTTGTGTAGATCAATCTTTGGCTAAACCTTTATTTTTGGCAACACCCTAGATGTTTGAGACACCGGCTCGGAGGCGGGCTTGGCGGCGCAGCAGAAGCGGGTGCCCACGAAGGTCTCAGCGCCTCGGCGAATCGGCTGGAGGCGCCCGTTTGCGTCGGAAAAAAACCCGGCTGATGAGGGTCGTCAATTTGAATGCATACAAGGATCGCACCAGATCTGCAAGATGAGTGCGATTTCCAGATTCAGGAGTTGTTTTCGCAACAGACAGTAAAACTGGGCAGGAAAAGCCAGGTTACAACGATTAAACTCTAAACAATTGTTGGGAGCAGTTCGGTTTTTTTCTTGTTTTTTGCAGAATCAACTGCAACCAAAGTGGTTGTGAAGATTTGAAGCACGGGGCACATTCACAGAAAGCCAAACTTGAAAAGATGGCATAATTGCGCGGGACTGTCGTTGCGGCTCCCAGCCAATTTAGGCTTCTAAATGTTTAGAGTTTAGAGAGGTTATGCCATATCCCAAAAGTTCAACTTTTGGCCCCGTAAACCACTTTATTTCCCGGGTATGCCAATTGGCGCTTGAGGTGGCCAATGTGCCGCTGGAATACAGCACCGAGGAGCGCGAGCGGCCTCAAAAGCCTGCGATGTGTGTCTTGTTTCTTCAGTTGTTTCCATTGCTTCAGAGCTTCGCCGGACAAATGCTCCAGCCCCGCCGGTGCATGAAATATCCCGCCGCAAGGATTTTCTGGTGCTGCACAAAGAGGTTGGCCTTGATGTCGACGAGTTGCTGGGACCCCGGGCTAGGCTGAAGCTATCACTACAGTACTTGCAATCACCCGATCCCTCGGTCCGGCCAGGCAAGTCCGCATTTCTTTGTGCCCCTGAAAGCGGAGGCCAAGTGTGGCGCAGCACCCGCCAAAGTCCGAAAGAGATGAAACCTATCAGCTGACGGCCAAGTATCCTGACCTCGCTCATGCGCGGAAAGCTGTGGAGAAGCTACTCGGCACTGGATGAAGCTGTCAGAGTATTCCACCCCTTTCAAGATCGTGGGCCGTCTTCTAGACGGAACACTCGGTAAGTGGAGCTCGGGACCCTACCCCTCTCCAAGGGCAAGTCCTGGGTGCAGAAATGCTTGAGCTCATCAGAGCAGCGGCTGGAATCGGCGAGAACTGGCTGGAACCGGGTGGATATGGATTCAGGCTAATAGGTCTAGATAGCCCGTCAGCCAGGGCTTTGGAGCACTTGCAAGTTGCTTAGGTTGACCGGTGCCTTGATGTGGACCTCAACTGGCAAGGAAAAGAGACTTTCTGTGTGGATCGCCACTCGGCTGCATCCAGCCAGCCATGCGGCCATGTTTCGTTGCAACAAGACAACAAGCCGCAAGCCATTGGTCGAGATGTCAAGTGAGCCTTTCTATGGGCCATTATGGGCCTATAGGTGGGTTCAAAATGAAAGGCAACAGCACCAGTTCCAAACATCCTGAGATGTCGCGCATCAAGCCCATTCCCATGGGTTCGGCGACAGGTTGACCCGAAGGGTTCGGAAGTCACGGAGTCACACCACAGGCTGGGACAGAATGGATCGGCTCGACGGGGGAGGTGCCACATTTGCCATGGTCAAAAGACCTGCTCTTGTTGGGGCATGTTGCAGAGCAGGGCAGGTTTGAACCCTTCGCATAAACGCCCAAAAGCAACAAAGCCTGAGAAGCGATAAACTTCATGTCAATGGCAAGGGGAGTCGTTTTGGGACCTTGTTCAGGCTCTTTGGCAAGTATTGCCATGTCTCATGCTGATGATCAAATTAGCGAATCCACTGCAGCCTTTCCTGTCAAGCCGCGCCTGCTTTGAGTGTTTGATCCTCTCTTCCATCGCTTTCTAGCAAAGATGATGCAAATGGCCAGCGCGGTGGGAGGCACGGACGCTATGAAGAAGCAGATCGAAGATCAGCTTGCAGAGAAGGCTCCTGCGAGCATCAAGCCCTTCTTCCCCTGCTGCGGCGGCCCGGTCGCCACCACGGAGAAGTGCATGTGCATGGTGCCAGCGGATCAGCAAGAACAGGCAGGGTTGGAAATTTCAGGGCCGAAGGGTACTTGGGGGGAAATGCGGGAACTTGCCGGGTTGGAGCGCCATGACATGTTGCCCAATCTGTGTTAAGGCCGGGCTTGAGGATTTGAGGCTAGTTGAGGGAGTGAAGGAGCCATGCTTCACACTTAGCAGCTTGGCTTCAAGATGCTTCAAGACTTCAGGTGAAGTCTGCCATCGAGAAATACAAGTCCTTCTGAGACTTCTGAGCCTTGTGACGTTTTGCAAGTCGCACCTCCCCACATGAAACTGTGGAGTGGCTTCGCGTGCCGCACAAAGTGCGGCATGGGTATGGACTTGCCTTCTTGCCTTACTTGCGTTGCTCTGGCTGAGCTCTGCGTCGGGTGGCTGGCGGCAACCGCACAGCTCCATTTGATTCCCGGGCTTGCCTGCACTAAGCGCGCAGCGAATCAGTCACGCACAAAGCGCATGCGGCAAGGATGAAGCCTGTGTGGGGTACAATTCGATCTTTTGTTTTTTGCTTACTTGTATTATAGTTTGGGTCAACTCTATTCAGTGACATCATTTGACATGGGCGCAATGACTCTAACATTGTTCGCAATTGGCGTATATCGGAGTTTCAGGGACCTGCAGCGGTTTACCGAAAGACACCGTGAAGGCAGTTGCGACAATCAAGCGAACCACTTGAAACTATTCAAGCTGCAGTCAAGTGTTTCAAGTCTTTAGTGGCAGCAAAGGGGCTTCCTTTGTTAGAGGTATGTAGACTGGGCAAAGCGGACTTTTGGCCACCGGGTTGGACGTGTCAATGTTGCACAGGGTCCTGGCATGTCCTGACTGAGCTGGCGGGCTTTGAGACTTGGTTGCTTTTGATGTGAGTTGCCCGCAGCATTCCTTGGCAAGACCTGCTTTGAGTGTTTGATCCTCTCCTCCATCGCTTTCTAGCAAAGATGATGCAAATGGCCAGCGCGGTGGGAGGCACGGACGCTATGAAGAAGCAGATCGAAGATCAGCTTGCAGAGAAGGCTCCTGCGAGCATCAAGCCCTTCTTCCCCTGCTGCGGCGGCCCAGTCGCCACCACGGAGAAGTGCATGTGCATGGTGCCAGCGGATCAGCAAGAGCAGGCAGGGTTGGAATTTTCAGGGCCGAAGGGTACTTGGGGGAAATGCGGGAACTTGCCGGGTTGGAGCGCCCATGACATGTTGCCCAATCTGTGTTAAGGCCGGGCTTGAGGATTTGAGGCTAGTTGAGGGAGTGAAGGAGCCATGCTTCACACTTAGCAGCTTGGCTTCAAGATGCTTCAAGACTTCAGGTGAAGTCTGCCATCGAGAAATACAAGTCCTTCTGAGACTTCTGAGCCTTGTGACGTTTTGCAAGTCGCACCTCCCCACATGAAACTGTGGAGTGGCTTCGCGTGCCGCACAGAGTGCGGCATGGGTATGGACTTGCCTTCTTGCCTTACTTGCGTTGCTCTGGCTGAGCTCTGCGTCGGGTGGCTGGCGGCAACCGCACAGCTCCATTTGATGCCCGGGCTTGCCTGCACTAAGCGCGCAGCGAATCAGTCACGCACAAAGCGCATGCGGCAAGGATGAAGCCTGTGTGGGGTACAATTCGATCTTTTGTTTTTTGCTTACGCTTATTATAGTTTGGGTCAACTCTATTCAGTGACATCATTTGACATGGGCGCAATGACCTCTAACATTGTTCGCAATTGGCGTATATCGGAGTTTCAGGGGCCTGCCGCGGTTTACCGAAAGACACCGTGAAGGCAGTTGCGACAAACAAGCGAACCACTTGAAACTATTCAAGCTGCAGTCAAGTGTTTCAAGTCTTTAGTGGCAGCAAAGGGGCTTCCTTTGTTAGAGGTATGTAGACTGGGCAAAGCGGACTTTTGGCCACCGGGTTGGACGTGTCAATGTTGCACAGGGTCCTGGCATGTCCTGACTGAGCTGGCGGGCTTTGAGACTTGGTTGCTTTTGATGTGAGTTGCCCGCAGCATTCCTTGGCAAGACCTGCTTTGAGTGTTTGATCCTCTCCTCCATCGCTTTCTAGCAAAGATGATGCAAATGGCCAGCGCGGTGGCAGGCACGGACGCTATGAAGAAGCAGATCGAAGATCAGCTTGCAGAGAAGGCTCCTGCGAGCATCAAGCCCTTCTTCCCCTGCTGCGGCGGCCCAGTCGCCACCACGGAGAAGTGCATGTGCATGGTGCCAGCGGATCAGCAAGAGCAGGCAGGGTTGGAAATTTCAGGGCCGAAGGGTACTTGGGGGAAATGTGGGAACTTGCCGGGTTGGAGCGCCCATGACATGTTGCCCAATCTGTGTTAAGGCCGGGCTTGAGGATTTGAGGCTAGTTGAGGGAGTGAAGGAGCCATGCTTCACACTTAGCAGCTTGGCTTCAAGATGCTTCAAGACTTCAGGTGAAGTCTGCCATCGAGAAATACAAGTCCTTCTGAGACTTCTGAGCCTTGTGACGTTTTGCAAGTCGCACCTCCCCACATGAAACTGTGGAGTGGCTTCGCGTGCCGCACAGAGTGCGGCATGGGTTATGGACTTGCCTTCTTGCCTTACTTGCGTTGCTCTGGCTGAGCTCTGCGTCGGGTGGCTGGCGGCAACCGCACAGCTCCATTTGATGCCCGGGCTTGCCTGCACTAAGCGCGCAGCGAATCAGTCACGCACAAAGCGCATGCGGCAAGGATGAAGCCTGTGTGGGGTACAATTCGATCTTTTGTTTTTTGCTTACGTTTATTATAGTTTGGGTCAACTCTATTCAGTGACATCATTTGACATGGGCGCAATGACCTCTAACATTGTTCGCAATTGGCGTATATCGGAGTTTCAGGGGCCTGCCGCGGTTTACCGAAAGACACCGTGAAGGCAGTTGCGACAAACAAGCGAACCACTTGAAACTATTCAAGCTGCAGTCAAGTGTTTCTAGAGGTATGTAGACTGGGCAAAGCGGACTTTTGGCCACCGGGTTGGACGTGTCAATGTTGCACAGGGTCCTGGCATGTCCTGACTGAGCTGGCGGGCTTTGAGACTTGGTTGCTTTTGATGTGAGTTGCCCGCAGCATTCCTTGGCAAGACCTGCTTTGAGTGTTTGATCCTCTCCTCCATCGCTTTCTAGCAAAGATGATGCAAATGGCCAGCGCGGTGGTAGGCACGGACGCTATGAAGAAGCAGATCGAAGATCAGCTTGCAGAGAAGGCTCCTGCGAGCATCAAGCCCTTCTTCCCCTGCTGCGGCGGCCCAGTCGCCACCACAGAGAAGTGCATGTGCATGGTGCCAGCGGATCAGCAAGAGCAGGCAGGGTTGGAAATTTCAGGGCCGAAGGGTACTTGGGGGGAAATGCGGGAACTTGCCGGGTTGGAGCGCCCATGACATGTTGCCGAAATCTGGGTTAAGGCCGGGCTTGAGGATTTGAGGCTAGTTGAGGGAGTGAAGGAGCCATGCTTCACACTTAGCAGCTTGGCTTCAAGATGCATCAAGACTTCAGGTGAAGTCTGCCATCGAGAAATACAAGTCCTTCTGAGACTTCTGAGCCTTGTGACGTTTTGCAAGTCGCACCTCCCCACATGAAACTGTGGAGTGGCTTCGCGTGCCGCACAGAGTGCGGCATGGGTATGGACTTGCCTTCTTGCCTTACTTGCGTTGCTCTGGCTGAGCTCTGCGTCGGATGGCTGGCGGCAACCGCACAGCTCCATTTGATTCCCGGGCTTGCCTGCACTAAGGCGCAGCGAATCAGTCACGCACAAAGCGCATGCGGCAAGGATGAAGCCTGTGTGGGGTACAATTCGATCTTTTGTTTTTTGCTTACTTTTATTATAGTTTGGGTCAACTCTATTCAGTGACATCATTTGACATGGGCGCAATGACCTCTAACATTGTTCGCAATTGGCGTATATCGGAGTTTCAGGGCCTGCCGCGGTTTGCCGAAAGACACCGTGCAGGCAGTTGCGACAAACAAGCGAACCGTTTGAAGCTATTCAAGCTGCAGTCAAGTGTTTCAAGTCTTTAGTGGCAGCAAAGGGGCTTCCTTTGTTAGAGGTATGTAGACTAGGCAAAGCGGACTTTTGGCCACCGGGTTGGACGTGTCAATGTTGCACAGGGTCCTGGCATGTCCTGACTGAGCTGGCCGGCTTTGAGACTTGGTTGCTTTTGATGTGAGTTGCCCGCAGCATTCCTTGGCAAGACCTGCTTTGAGTGTTTGATCCTCTTTTCCATCGCTTTCTAGCAAAGATGATGCAAATGGCCAGCGCGGTGGGAGGCACGGACGCTATGAAGAAGCAGATCGAAGATCAGCTTGCAGAGAAGGCTCCTGCGAGCATCAAGCCCTTCTTCCCCTGCTGCGGCGGCCCAGTCGCCACCACGGAGAAGTGCATGTGCATGGTGCCAGCGGATCAGCAAGAGCAGGCAGGGTTGGAAATTTCAGGGCCGAAGGGTACTTGGGGGGAAATGCGGGAACTTGCCGGGTTGGAGCGCCCATGACATGTTGCCGAAATCTGGGTTAAGGCCGGGCTTGAGGAT